AGATTATGATAATTTTTTTACAGCTAAAAAGATGTGATAGTAAATTTTTTGATCTTTTAACCTTTAAATCACTATGATATATTTTTTTGTAATAGAAAAAGATAGATAGAGGGGGATACTCAAGAGTTAATAGTGCACATTCCAATAAGTTTTAATATTTCAACTTTGACATATAACATAAAAATGTTTACCATCCACTTTACTATTGGATTAAAATAGACTAATATTGATGCAACTTCATTCCATATTAAAAAAAAATTGAAAAAAAAATAAAAAACTTTTGCCAACTACTTACGTTGCCTCCTTCAGCACTTCCGAAGCTCAACAAATGAAATTAGGTTAGGAAGAGACCCTTCGACAGCCCTGTTCATGGGTTTGGAGAATGGCTAATGAAGAACATGGAATGATAAATCACAAAGGCAAAAACTTTAACTGGTTGTTGTGTTGAATACATGATTTACCCTAACGAAGTGAAGTAATAGCGGTGATGTAATTAATTTGATGTGAAACTCTGAAGTGAAACTTGTGATTTGGGGGTGTATAAGAGCTACAAAATTTGAATTTGAATCAATTGAGCCAAATCCATATCCAAATACACAACTAAGTTGTTGAATAGATGTACTCACAAATAAATGCAAAAAGCTCAAAGCACAAAATGAGACATTCAAATTATATATATTTGTATTTTTATTCATTATGTTTTCAAATTTACCAAAAATCAAATATTTTAATATTTTTTAATCAATATCAAAATTTGTTGCAATATAAAACTTTCTTGGTTTCAAATTTATAGAAAACCAAGTTCCGAAACAAACAACTGAAATTTTTTTTTGAAATAAGACTTGAAGTAAAAACTCAAGCACTAGCTTGAACTGAAAATACATAAAAAGGAGACAAAATGGACTAATCACATAATAAATACTAATATTCAAAAGATATGTGTTAGCTTAAAGTTCGGTTAAATATACTACTAGAAAGAGGCATGTTACATAATAATATAAATCATGAAGACATTTCATTGATTGTCATATAGAGTGATTTGATGACCAACTAAACAAAACATTAATTATTTGGATATTATACAAAAATACAATCAAATAATAATAACTAGTATCCATGAAATAGTGGCATATAGATAGTGACATATAGATAGAATTATTATTAAGAGTAAAAATTCACTACAATAAACTTAATATTCTACATAATTGTAAAGCAAAGATTTCTTTTGAAGAGTTATTTTGCCAAGGGGAAGAGCATTTCCCTTGTCATCTTATTAATCACATTTTGAGAGAAGAAAAAAAAAGACTCATTTATTTGATTAAAGCCCATGAAATATTTTAAAAATGAAAACGCATTTAAAAATAAATTAATAAATAATTTTATTTTCATTTCATAATGTAAAAATAAAAAGTGTAACCTCCATATTTGTTCATATACAAAATATGCATGAGTTATATAATGTACACTATTTTTCTTAAAATGCATATATAATGTAAAGAAAATTTCCAACTTCAATATCTAATATAAAAGAAAAATTAATCATCTAACTTAATGTTTCAATAAAATAATTAAGATCGAAGCGTCAACATTCATTAAGAAAAAAGGAAAAAAAGTAAACTATGCTCAACTTTTACATTAACTCTTTCAAAACTTCTCAAGTTCATGTTGTCCATTAGAAAAAAATATATTACATCCGGAGTCCGACGTCAACTGTGTATGTATAACGGTTGCGATCCACCTAAGCTCGTTTTTTTTTTCCTCCTCCGCTCCTTCGGGTGGATCGCTGCCGTTGTTCTGTCACAGCTTACGTCTGGATTCTAGACGTAATATTTTTTTGTCAATTAGAGGGAAGCACTTGGGCAACGCTACTCATAATAATGTTCTAAATTATCATAACAAAGAGAATAGAAGCGGGATTGATTTATGCAAAACTTTTAAGTTAAACACTTGACTAGGGTGCACTACAAAATTCAAATTTGAATCCACCGAATCGAATTTAGATTCGAATGCACAACGATAGGCAAGTGGTCGAGCAACTGAGTATATGTATTTGCAAATAGATGCAAAAAAGATGAAAACTAAAACATAAAAATGAGCAATCCCAATAAAATTTATATTTTTATTTTTAGGAAAATTTATAAATATGCCGCCCAATTTTTATATATTTACATATTTAACACCTAAAGTTTTATAATACTTTGGGGTCATAATCTTGTACATAAAAAATGTTCAAGCATGGATCTTAAGGAGATTTAATGACTCAGAAGAGAGGAGTATGATGAAGAAGGGCCTACTGGCAGAACATTAAGCCTACTTATCCGGTTGAGTGAAGTTGTTCGAGCCAAGCTAGAAAGCCCAAAATAGACCGAGTCATGAGGCTGACAAAAAGATAACAAAATGACCCAAGCCTGAACCAATTGGCCTGATGCAAGGCAAAAGAGCATTTCAACCGATTGTTAAAGGAAAATTGACCAGATGGAATAGCTAACCACCCTCATGCGGAATCAATCCAAGAGAAGTTCCAATACCACAATATCTCTAAACATATAGGGATGCCCCAAAAGTTCCTCATTAAGGACTAAGGGTTGACAGTCAGGTCGTATCAATAGACCAATTTATATCAATCAAGCTCAGCCAACTGAGTTGATCCTACCAACCAAAAGCCGATTTAGCTTAGCCAGTCAGGTTAAAAAATAGCAGAATGATAAACACATACATGTAAAATACTAGAATTGCCTCAGTATAAACCCCTTAAAATAAGAACAAAAAGTTCAATATGACCATTATATACCCAAAAATAGAAGAATTATTTTATGAATAAGATATGATTGATCACAATAGATTACTTTTCACACATATACTCTCTCTATCTCTATATCTATCTCCAACCCTCCTTACACTCTATTCCTTGGGTATGATTCTCAGACAAATAAGGATACAACATTTTAAAAGGTGCAATGAGCGCCAATCACGCCACAAACAAAAATAAGAATGGCCTAAGGAGAAGAAACTCATAACACAGACACTGCAACATGAAGTACACCAAAGAATTCAATACCAAAAAAATCCAGGAGTTGAATGATTGGATGTTGGATGTCATTCGAGGTGCACTACCCCGAAGAAGAGAACAAGAACCATGAGATGAATAGTGAGCTCCCAACAGAAGAAAAGTCCCCTGACCGTGGAAGAAGAATGCGACTCTGAACAATTTGATAGTGATGGTTTGACACCTATCGACATCGGATCTGGTGTACTAAGGCACCCCAAAAACCTAAGAACGTGTTCTCTCAGCAAATCTCTAAGGTTAAGCCCCTAAAAACAATTAAAATTCGAGCACTGGAGTCCTAAAAATGGCGAAACAATCTGACACACGACGTCACCTCTTCCAAGTAGAACATGTGCCTACTAAGGATCACCAACACACTGAAATGAAAATTTTTTTCACCATACTAAGGGAGTCGGCTCTCAGATGATTTAACAGGTTACTGTCAGAAGCAATCACATCATTCGCTGACATCAGTCGGATATTTGTGACACAATTTGCTAGCACCCAAAGATCATAGATGAACTCACAGGCTCTTCTATAGCTCCAATAAGGATAGAGTGAAAGTATGCACTCATTCAATACTTAAAAAAAAAAGACATCGAAAGTGTGGGACTTGAAGCCTGTAGTGGCTCATGCCGCCCCAGCTCAGGGGCTGAAAAGAAGGACCCTTCCGATAATGGTAGGCATATAATGAACAAAGACGCTAGCCAAGTTGTTAGAGAAGGCCAATGAGTACATATCAACTAAGGATTTTAAATCCAACCCCACCACCTCTGGAGTTGAATCCTTCATATGTCACCTAAGAAATAGGGTTGCTTAAGGCAAAGGTGGGGACTGAGACGTGATCACGACCTTCCATCAGTCCTCAATACAAAGATACTCGGCCGCTCCAGGATCATAAGATGACCGACATAATACATCACCGATAGAGCCAAGATTGGTATCATAACCATCAACTCGCTTAATATAACGAGTGCCTTACTACCTAACTATCAAGCGCCCAAACAAACTCATTTGAGAGATTCAATGGTTTAGATAGTATAGGCTATATAAAATAATGAATAATTTAAGAAAGCTTCATTATTAATGATCAGAGCTTACCTTTAAGATCCAAAGATGCATTTTGCCCACCACTGGGACCATAGGCACAACATTAGGAGTACCAACATCTCTGAGGCTTGATCGAAGATCTAATTAAGGCCAAAAACTTAAGGAATTTGTGGCATCAGAACAAAATACTTAGTGACAGGGGAAGACTCCAATTGAGGAGATATCGGTCGAAGTAGTCTGAGTCCAAGAGATTCATATCGCTAGCACAATCTTAGCCATCATCAGTGGTGTTGAAGAATCATCCACTTGAGCCAGTCTGAAGAGGCTTCAGTAGAGAGAATTATGCGCAACCACCCTTGCATTCAAATATAACTTACATCGTTCCACATTTTTCACCAACAAAAACCAGCCCCCTTAGGGTAATCCATACAATAATGTTGTTATCATAACCATGTTGATCCATAACTATCAAATTGACAACATCCCAATTCACACAAATAGCTCCGCGCACATCCTCTTCAAGCCAGAGTTCAAAACGATGGTTGTACGAACCAAATAATTGACAATTGTGGCCAGGCTACTCTATGGTTTTTCTAGTGAGAGGACAGGGAGAAAAGCAAGCGGTTAACAAACATGGCCGATATTTTTGATATTATGTTAAAAGATAGGACACGGAGAAAAGCAAGCGGTTAACCAACATGGCCGATATTTTTGATATTATGTTAAAAGATTAGATGATATGTATATAAATATGAATATTTAGGCGTTGGATATGTAAATAGATAAGAATTATGCTGTATATGAATATGTGATATGCAGTTTTATCAAAAAAATTGAATTATCAAATGATTTAACCACCAAAAGTCAAATATTTTGTTACGTATTTTTAATCGGTATCTAAAACTCTTTTAAAAGTCAAACCTGCCGATCCGCGCTTGTGCACCTTCGCCCTTGTCCAGGAGTGTAGCGGCGTTTGTCCCCACTGTGCGAGAGCGGCAGAGGAGCGACGATCGTGCTTATACGCGCCTTCTTCTCGGCTGTCCGAGAGCAGGAGAGAAGAGGGATTGTGCCGAGTTTTCATTTCACCGTGCGTGAGGAGGGGAGGGTATTTCCTGCGAGGTCATCTTCAATCGTGGAAGAGAAGCGACGTGCGAGAGCGGGACGTAGCTAGTTTCTGAGTAAATTTCTTTTTTTTTCCCCTTTAAAATTTTATCATTAAACATGCATTTATCTTGCTTATTATAGGATATCACAAGTTTCTTTTTGATTTTCTTTAAATCTAGAGGGGTTTTCTCTTTATTTTCTTCTTAGTATAAGATAAATTAGATAGTTTAAAAAAACAACTTTTAGAAGTTTGAGTAATCCTACATGTGATCTCATACTTATTTGTTTTACTTGCCTAAAAGTGTCTTTACGGGTCATTTTATAAGTGTTCCTCCGACTATTTTTTTTCTAGTTTACTAAAATTGTCGTTGTAGGAATTAAAATCTAACTCAAACAGCTCCTAAAGAATCATTTTTAACAAAAATAAACTTTCTTATAATCCTTGTAGAATAATCTTATATAAGCTCTTTATATGAAGCTGAATGGAGGACTCATCTTTGCCCACGAATCATGGTTTCAGGGGTATATCAACATTGAAGATTGGTGAATCATTAATTGCTTTAGTAGCAATATTCATAGAATCATCCATTTGATTTGGATCATGTAAACCTTCTTCGGATGATGACCTTTTCTCATATCGCCTATCTTGCCATATTGCTAGCATGCATCACTGTGACTGAAATTTTTGCCCTTTGATATTGTGATATTCTCAGTTGTTGCTCTTTGATATTAGGTTTTTCTCAATTGTTGTTCTTTGATATTAGGTTTCTCTTAATTTTTGTTCTTTTTTTCACTTCTCTCTTTGCCTCCAAGACTAAAAGCAATATAAGTCTTAATTTGGTTTTCATCTTCGGATGTTCTCATCTAAAGTTAAGTCATAGTCATTGAGTTGGCGTTGCATTGACTAACATGAATTATTGATCTTCAACATGAATCATCTATATCTTTTTTCTTTTAGATTTCATATTGAAGTTAAGGAATAGAATTCATTTGTTTGTCTTAAATTATTTCCTCTTCAAGTATATTTTTTAATTAACCTACAATGACTAGAAGATAAGATCGATCTTGAAAATATGGATCTCAAGTTAAGTGCTAGGAGATGTAAAGAAGGGTTATGTTTACTTATGTAAATTTGTGACTAGCAAATTGCTATGAGATTGTTAAGCGGTTAACAGGTCACCTGCACACATTTAAATATTGACCCATGAAATTTTATTTGAAGAAGTACACCACCTCAAAGAAGCAGCTCAAATAAATATGGAGGAAATGATTCAAAAATTACTTTTACTTTGGTTCCTAATAAGATGGGTTTAATAATGGAAGCTATTTTTTTCTCTTATGATAGAAGAGTACGAGGGCTAATGGATAAATTTATTATGAATTTAAATGAAGGTGAGAATAATAGTTCTTAGACAATTCCTCCTTCGGTTTCCACAAAAGAACACAGTAATAGAGTAGCTTTACACATTGCAAGCTATTTTATGAGAATGAAATTCATTTTAATGTAATTAGGAGTTTTTCATGAGTCTGTATGCTTTGCTCTATTGAAAATTATGGTCAATGACTAGATTTTTTTCAGTACACATGAGCATTGTGAGCATTGTATATTGATGTTAGATGAGGAGATAAGAAAAATGATAAAGATATTGATAAAGTGAAGAAGACATTAGTTGAAATAGGAGTTACAATAATGTCAGATGATGGTGACGCATTTACCTTAATTAAAGATGCATAACTCATATTTAAAATTTTTGATGAAGTTATTTAGGAAGTATGAGAGAACATTGTTGTTCAGGCAATGACATGATATGGAGGATGTTAATGGAGAAAATAAGGCATCTTTATTACATTGCATGTGGTGCTCATTGTTTTGATTTGATGCTTAAGTCTTTGAAGCTTCCACAACAAATATATGCTTTACTCAAAGCAAAAAAAAAAAAAAAAAAAAAAAAAAAAAAAAAATGAGCAAATTTATTTATGCAATTCTTGGATATCAAGTTTGATGAGAAAATTCACATATAAATACATTATCTAGTTAACATTTACGAGATTTAGCGTAACTTATTTGACTTTGTAGAACTTTAAAGATATGACAAAAATTGGGGTTAATGTTTGCTTCTTAAAATTATGAATGTAGTTCTTGGAGAAAGAAATTGAAAAAAAGGAAGTAAATGAGATTGTAAGGAAAGTTGGTTCTTTTGGGCATGAGGTTAATTATGCTCTTAAGATTTTGAGATTTTTAGTGAATGTATTAAAAATGGTTAATGGTGCTTCAACTATGAGATTCATCTCTGAACTATGAACAAGCAAAAGAAAAATTCGTAATAGATTTAGGAGGAAAAAAAATTGCTTGCAAAAAAAAAAAGAGAAATTTTAGATAAAAATGGGATCACTAATTACATCAACATTTGCATGCTATTGCTATATTTTCTTAAATCGTCAATTTCATTATGATAAAGATTATTCATGTGGATAAGGGAGTTAAAACTACTTATATGTGTACATGGATGACTTGTGCCTGAGACTGATTGTTTTAAAGCTAATGATCAACTTGAATATTTTCATTTTAAAAATGAAATGTTTGAATTTTGATCATCTTAATCATACAATAAGATATTCTCTCCTTGTAAATTTGCATTTAGTTAAGTCTTTTACTTTAACGTATATTAGTTTTTTTTTAATTATCCTTTAGAACATTGGTGGTTACAATATAGAGATAGCGGGCCTAAACTTAAAGCATTTACAGTAAAGGTTTTTAGTCTCAGCTTGTTTAGCTTCTACATGCGAACTTAGTTGGAATACATTCAAACAAGTTCATAAAAAAAGAAGAAATTGATTGTCTGTTGAACAATTGAAACAACTTGATCTATGTTATGTCTAATTAAAAATTGAAAGATAGACACTTCAAGTTATGGAGATAAAGAATGATGATGTTGGAATGGATCATTTGATATTTGATAATGAATTATCTGATGACAAATGAATAAAGCAAAAAAAGTATTGAATGATTTGAAGTTGAAGATGAATGAGTGACTTATACTGATAATGTATTATCTAATGATGAAATGACAACTAAATTTGATGTTTCTTATACTTTACAATCATTTAAAAGAAATAAACCAAATAAAGGTTAGATTTTCAAAAGAGTCAAAATGTGATTTATATATGATGGATTATTTAATTGTGTTATTAAATTTTTATTCTATTTTAATTATATTGAATCTAATATTAATAGGCATGGGGAGTAAGAAAAAGAATATAACAATTTAAGAAAATTTTAAATGTGCCAATACACAAAATTAGATTATAATAGAATTATTGCATATGATGATTCTAAAGATGATTAATGTAAGCATCAGAGTGTTATGGATCTTGTTCTTTGTGACATATTTTGATCTCAATTGAGCATGTACTTTGAATCTCATTTTAAATTAGGATGGAGATTGGTGGTTTATATTTTTATGATGATGAACTAAGTAAATATATTTATGGTTATTTCATATTCTTTATATAATTTTATGATTTTTAATCTTTTTATTTTGCGGCTTATGTCTCAGTTTGTCTCAAAGTTTATCCTTCACCTAGTTAAAATATGAAATGCCTCAATTTTTTGTCTTTTCTGTTTAACTCTTGTTAGTGCTTCTATAAGCTCTTAAGCACTCTTTTAGCATTTGGTCCAACCTCGCGACCCTAATGAACTATGCCCAAGTTTTTCCTTTGGAGTCCCACAGACGCAAACCTATACCTCATCACATTTGCCTATAGAACCTCACCATTCTACACTCCTGGGGGTGGATCGATACTGTCCACCCTTTGCCCCATGCACTATGTTGGGCTCACTTTCTTCATTTGTGGGAGGAAGTATTTCAATCTGAAGGTTCGATTCTTATCACTTACCTCTCCAACATTGGATGCCATTTGATAAACTGGTTATGACTATTCATACCTTTAAAAGCCTTTATAAGATTAAATGCACCTTGGCTTTATCCCTAGGTTTACACTCAACTCATGTTATGTTCATATTAATTGAAAACTTATAATTGTTACAATTAATAGTTAATTTTCTATGAATACTCATGTAAAATATGCATACGCTGTGCTAATGATTGTGCAAATGTATTAGGACTAGATACTATAGGAAGGTTGACAAGATTTATTGGAAAGTGTCAAGCTACATCAAGAAGAAATTCTCAGAATATATTGCAGCTGTTGTATTTATGTTATTAAATATCTCCATTTTATGTTTTTTTCTTATTTTGGGGAATTCTAATTTTGGTTCCTTTCATTATTTTGTATATGTGGTAAGGTGAAATGTGTTGAAGCTAGCGGGAATTAAAATTCTTTCCATAATTCTACATGGACGAGAAATCTTTCATTTGCATTTGAGTGCTCCACATCTTTTTTCCTTTGAAATCATCGAGCTGTTTTCTGTGTCTCGATTGCTTTTCTTCATGCGTCGACAATTCTAGGGCAAGCCAGCAACGTCTTTAGCGACATCTTCAACGACGGCTTCGAACACCTCACTCATCTCCATTTCGTTCTTCTTGCTCGTGCGTTCGACTCAACTCCCCTTCGCTTCAACGATTGCTCAATCCACAAAGCTCCATCGTCAACAACAATGGATCCAAAGAAATCTATGATGTTGTCGTTCTACACTGCTGTTCGATGCTCACGAACGCACGAGCCATCTCCTCTCATATGAGTATGGTTGATGTTTTGTCTCTGGCTTTTTCACTCAAGATCGTTGCTTTGTCTTCTCAAGGACGAGATTGTCAGGCTCAACGTCCGACTCTTTCACTCGAACAAATTGCTCTATCTTTTTGATTTGTTTCTTCAGCTCAAACAAAACTCTCCTTTCTATTGATTCAAAACTGAGCAGATTGCAGTACTATCCTCTCTTTGGTTTGCCACTCTTGGTTAAATCAGATGGCTAATCTAGCGAATGATTAGGTTTCTATGATCAATTTGGCTTGCTCTTGCCGACATTTCACTGGTCATCGACTTGAAAAAGGCTTGATCACCTCTCGCAGAGTGCCAAACGTCTGGAAATTGAGAGCTGCACAACTCCCTCTAGTTCTTGTGTTCTCATAAGTCGAACTAAAGCTGCTCCTCTTGCTTTCGTTCGTTCATCAATTTTACTTGATTTGAGCTGCACAACATTATCACAGGCAAAAACAACATGGCCTCAAAATATTCTTTCTTGGAAGTTACATCCAGATCCGAGCCTATGATTTATGTCCCTATCATATTTTCAAACAATAATTCAAAATTCAACCCGTTCACTAGGGAGCAAATTATGACACCGCAGAAAATGTTTAGTAATAGTTCTAGTTCGAGACAAGCATCACAATCCTCTGCCGAGCAACCTATCAGCATGTAAGCACAACAAGGCGTCTTGTTCCATGTTTTAAGTGTTTAAAGCAATAAATTAAAACAATTGATAGTTGACTTCGAAGATTCACATCATATGATGGGAGACATCAACATCTTAAAAAATTACAGCCGATGTACCAGTCACTCTACAATTTGATTAGTTGATGATTCATTCTCATATTAGCAGTAATCAGATTAGTCGAATTGACAAGGGATCTTCATCTCTACTCTGTTCTATATGTTCCAAAACCAAATTAGAACCTACTCAATCAACAAACTTACTCGTGGCCTGAAATATGTAACTAAATTTTATTTCAATTGTTATGACTTTCAGGATGTGGATTCAGGGAAGGTGATTGATTGTGTTAAGATGCATGGTGATCTATACTTGCTCAAGGCAAATAATTTCATCTGTAGGCAATGCCATCCATGAAATTGTATTTCTGAGTGCAGTTCATATTCTGTGTTAGTTAAAAGTCAAGTTTTGTTGAGTTATTGTCATCTTGGTCATCCAAATTTTGCGTACATGAAAAAAATATTTCCACACTTTTTTACCACTAAGAAATCTAATTTTAAAAATGTGAAACTTGTCGACTTGTATAACATACCAAAATTGTATATTCCTAATTGCAATATAAACCTTCACATTCTTTTTCTATAATTTATAGATATATATTGGGACCATCACAAGTAAATAATGTAAATGAGGCATGATAGTCAACTTGTAAAACATACCAAAATTGTCGACTTGTAAAACATACCAAACTTGTCGACTTGTAAAACATACCAAAATTGTATATTCCTAATTGCAATATAAGCCTTCACATTCTTTTTCTATAATTTATAGATATATCTTGGGACCATCACAAGTAAATAATGTAAATGAGGCATGATAGTTTGTATCATTCATAGATGATCGCACAAAAACAATATATGTATTCCTTATGACAGAAAAGTCTGAAACAACCATCATATTTCAATCTTTTCATTCCATGATTCATACTCAATCCCAAAGCAAAATTCAAATTCTTAAAACTGATATTGCTAAGAAATATTTTAATTCCATTTTTAGTCTTTATCTTTCCAAGTATGGTATTATCCATATAAGTTCTCGTGTGAATACCCCTAAAAATGGAGTTCCAGAAGTAAAAAATAGACACTTTTTGACGGTATATTATTTCATCATTTACCTAAATATTATTTCATCAAAAGGATGCTTTTTGAAGGCACAATATAAAAGCAAGCTGTTGTCTCCCGGAATAGTGCAAAATCTGAATATCGCGCTCTTGCACTAGAATAATGTGAGAGAATGTGAATTCAAAGGCTATTAAGGGAACTTAATTTTGATGCTAAAGATACAAGTACGATGTTCATTGATAACGAAGCAGCTATTAATATATCCAAATATCCTTTGCATCATGATAAAACAAAACACATTGAGATTGACTGACACTTCATCTTAGAAAAAAATAATAATGAAATTATTCAACTCAGCTATATTTCTGCACAACTTCAGATTGCTGATATCTTATCACAACACTACTAAGGGTCAATCATGATGAATTGAAGTTCAAGCTTGATTTTTACAATATATACAACCCAGGTTGAAGGGAGTATTAGAAAATGCAAATTTGCATTGGGAAGGAATTCTCAAATATATTTTACTTATTATATTTCTATTATTAGATATTTTCATTTTTTGTGAATTTTTTTGCTCAACACTAATCCTACAATATCATCAAAATTTAACTTCATGATGTGGTTCATCCACAAGTTGAAGCGTGATCACGTCCTGCACACAGACGATTTTGAGCGACTTGTTGCTTCGCCTGAACCGAACATGTTCAGGTTTTCTCCATTCCAAGGTGTTGGCCGGTCCTCTTGGGCCACTCTTATTTATTCTCTTATTATATATTTGTATTCTTTAAATTTTAGGTTTAGTTTTTGTCATGTTTTTGTTCAGGACAACCATCAATGTTCCAGTTTCTTTCCTCTAGGGTTGTATCCAAAGGTAGGTGATATGGTGCTCCGGCTGTAGCTCGTTCAAAGTGGTGACCTTCTTGCAAGGGTCTGGTGGTGGTCTGGTTGTAGCTCGTTACCAAGGGAGTATTTATCCTCAACCTTTTCTTTCTTGCACCCCTTGATTTGCTGCCACGCCTCTTTCCTCAATGCTGCCACCCAGGACAACTGTCATTGCTGTTCTTTTCTGTAGCTATTTTTCCAGCCACCTTCCTTCCACAATCTCTTTTGTCTTCCTTTTGAATAAGCAGCTAGCCCTCCCGCTTACTGTTTCTAGTCGCCCCCAACCTTCCATTCGCCCCAAACTAGCTGTCTTTTCTATTTTACTGTAGTTTTTACGTTGCCATCCATTATCCCGACCTCCCCTCTTTGTTGTCCTTGCTGTTCTAGCCCTCCAACTTCTCTGACGTAGCCTGCAACGCCTTCCCTTTGTGGCTTTCTTGTTGTTCCAGCCTCCTACAAGCTTTACTACACCTCATCTACCTTCCAGAAACGCCACCTGTTGAATCCGCCACCCTCTAACACTCCAACCTTCCCATTCCGGCCCACCTAGCCGGTCTCCACCTCCATGGGATACACTTAGTTATTTTTGTTTGTGTCTCTTATTATATTTCCCATTCAGCATTTTGGTAGTCATTACATATTAGTTTTTTCAGTAGCAATATTTGTTTTTTCTATTGTTGTTTGGGTTAACTTTGGCATCACTTCATGTTACTTGAAGAGTTACTGCAATAATTAGTTCATCCCAACTATCTAGTAATGAAGATAAGTGTACAGTGCTCTAACATTGTTATCAAATTTGATGCTTATAGAGCACAACCGATTTATCACAGCATCGAAGTTGTTCAATTGTTTGTTCACTGAACTATTATCCATCATGTTCACGAGAAATAATTTATTTAAAGCTGAAAGCTTTTCATACATTCTTTTTAATATAACCGTGAGAAAAATAATAGTTCTTTTATTTATAATGTTGGAAGTAACAAATGAGAAAAGTGAAAGTCGGATCAAACTTAGGGTTGTTTGATTAAGAACTTTCCATTCTTCCAGTCTTTAATTATGGTTTCTTGGTGATTCCATCCAATGACAAATACAATTTATTTTGATATAATAAATGTTTAATTTATATTTTCCAGAAAGTAAAGTTCGAACCATTGAACTTCACAATCTTTTACCTCATTATTTTGGTCAATGCTCCCATTAGAGAACTTTAAAACCTGTCTTTTATACCACTTTTTGGATATATAAATTGCGGAAACCAGAGATCAAAAGCGAACTTTGAACATTAGCAGATAAATTAAGAAAACATAAAAACAATAGATTTAACATAGAAAATCTTGAGAATGGTAAAAAATCACAAAGTCACACCACCCTAAGAAATTCACCATGAAGAAAAAATGAGGAGAATAGTACAAATTACATCACAATCAAGCCTCTTCATGTCTTGGACACAAGGAGACTCACACTCTCTACAAAATCTCTAGTGAAAAACCGCAGAACATATTATTAAAAGTCACAAATGA